GAAGTTGAATGAAGAATTAAGTTATTTAAGCCTATAAAAAATGTAAACAGCAATTAGATGTCAGATGTCAACATGTCTGGTATTTGAAGGGAGTAGCCAACGAAAGAGAGTGGGAGCATACATCCTAAAAATATGAATAGATATAAAAATTAACATAAAGAATTCATCAGAATGACATTTTTAAATGTCAACCATGCATCTTGTTTAGTAGCACTGCATCACTTTCACAAGCTACATATAGACAGTGGACTTACTTTTGCAAAAGAATGGTTTTATTCACATATCACATTGGCTACAGAGACATTGGCACTGGGCCATTTGATTCCTTTAGTCTGAATGTTTTTGTAGTCCAAAAACTTTGCCACAAATCGGTTTAATATTGATTAAGGTTGCACCTAATGGAGTGATGCAGTGCATATCCTACCCCAATTCCTTGGCTATTAAAAAGTGCTACATTTACAGGGATTAAACCATAAGTAATGTCAAAGATGGACATGGACAACTACTGTGACACCATCCGTTGGTTTCTGAAATTGTGTTTTGATGCCCCAAGATTAGCATTTTCACCACAACCATCTTAGTTTCAAAGTAGGGCTGGGCGATATGGCCTAAAATCCATATCACGGTATAATTTGAAGCATGTGCGGTAACGATATATATCAGGATATATTCTTTTCTTCTGTATAACGTATTTTACACACTATAAGGCACACTTAAAATCCTTTAATTTTCTCAAAAATCGACAGTGTGCCTTATGTATGAATTCTGGTTGTGCTTACTGACCTCAAACCGATTTTGTGTTACACGGTGCGTAGAAATCAAAAAATGTTTTAGTACGACTTTGGAGAGCTATGAAAGCGCACCGCTTGATGGATTGCCGGAGCATTACGGCTGCCGTAGTCAGGAGCCTTGCGGAGTAATCCAAAACTCCGTCCACTTCAGGTCCCAAAGTCAAACACTGCAGCGTCACTGAGAGTTACAAACTATCGCAATTCTTTCATCTTTAATAAAATGATCAGCGTTTCTGCTCTACCAGGTGTAACAATTAAGTTTAACATCCAGGCATCCATGAAAACAGAATCTATTAAATTGAATGGAGTTAGAAGTTAGCAGGAAATTTGCTCGCTAGCTTCCACCTAAACATCATATAGCATGTTCTGACTGAGAGATTTCTGAAAAAATTTAAATGTACAGCTCTGCTATCACTTCCAACATAAATGAAGACAGAAAACTAAACAGCAGTGACATTTGTAAGGTTACTGAAGTTGGGCTAGCTGGTATATAATGATGTCCTACGTGATTGCTAGCGACACAGCTACGTTAGCATAACATTAGCACAGTGAAGCTGAAGGATGAATGCCAACTTTTTAACGTGAGGGTTTCTAGTGGTTAGGGACAAATGCAATTGCATGGCAGGATGCTGTAAACGGACCAAACTTCAGTCAGGAGAACAACTGAGATAATCCATCCACAATACGAGGTTAGTCATTAATATACTGCAACAACATGGGAATATAGCAGCTGCGAGAGAATTCAGCATTAACAGTGGGGCAAAAAAGTATTTAGTCAGCCACCGATTGTGCAAGTTCCCCCACCTAAAATGATGACAGAGGTCAGTAATTTGCACCAGAGGTACACTTCAACTGTGAGAGACAGAATGTGAAAAAAAATCCATGAATCCACATGGTAGGATTTGTAAAGAATTTATTCGTAAATCAGGGTGGAAAATAAGTATTTGGTCAATAACAAAAATACAACTCAATACTTTGTAACATAACCTTTGTTGGCAATAACAGAGGTCAAACGTTTACTATAGGTCTTTACCAGGTTTGCACACACAGTAGCTGGTATTTTGGCCCATTCCTCCATGTAGATCTTCTTGAGAGCAGTGATGTCTTGGGGCTGTCGCCGAGCAACACGGACTTTCAACTCCCGCCACAGATTTTCTATGGGGTTGAGGTCTGGAGACTGGCTAGGCCACTCCAGGACTTTCAAATGCTTCTTACGGAGCCACTCCTTTGTTGCCCGGGCGGTGTGTTTTGGATCATTGTCATGTTGGAAGACCCAGCCTCGTTTCATCTTCAGAGTTCTCACTGATGGAAGGAGGTTTTGGCTCAAAATCTCACGATACATGGCCCCATTCATTCTGTCCTTAACACGGATCAGTCGTCCTGTCCCCTTGGCAGAAAAACAGCCCCATAGCATGATGTTTCCACCCCCATGCTTCACAGTAGGTATGGTGTTCTTGGGATGCAACTCAATATTCTTCTTCCCCCAAACACGACAAGTTGAGTTTATACCAAAAAGTTCTACTTTGGTTTCATCTGACCACATGACATTCTCCCAATCCTCTGCTGTATCATCCATGTGCTCTCTGGCAAACTTCAGACGGGCCTGGACATGCACTGGCTTCAGCAGCGGAACACGTCTGGCACTGCGGGATTTGATTCCCTGCCGTTGTAGTGTGTTACTGATGGTGACCTTTGTTACTTTGGTCCCAGCTCTCTGCAGGTCATTCACCAGGTCCCCCCGTGTGGTTCTGGGATCTTTGCTCACCGTTCTCATGATCATTTTGACCCCACGGGATGAGATCTTGCGTGGAGCCCTAGATCGAGGGAGATTATCAGTGGTCTTGTATGTCTTCCATTTTCTGATGATTGCTCCCACAGTTGATTTTTTTCACACTAAGCTGCTTGCCTATTGTAGATTCACTCTTCCCAGTCTGGTGCAGGTCTACAATACTTTTCCTGGTGTCCTTCAAAAGCTCTTTGGTCTTGGCCATGGCGGAGTTTGGAGTCTGACTGTTTGAGGCTGTGGACAGGTGTCTTTTATACAGATGATGAGTTCAAACAGGTGCCATTCATGCAGGTAACGAGTGGGGGACAAAAAAGCTTCTTACAGAAGACGTTACAGGTCTGTGAGAGCCAGAGATTTTCCTTGTTTGAGGTGACCAAATACTTATTTTCCACCCTAATTTACGAATAAATTCTTTACACATCCTACCATGTGAATTCATGGATTTTTTTTTTTCACATTCTGTCTCTCACAGTTGAAGTGTACCTCTGGTGCAAATTACTGACCTCTGTCATCATTTTAAGTGGGGGAACTTGCACAATCGGTGGCTGACTAAATACTTTTTTGCCCCACTGAATGAATCAATGGGACGGAAGTGGAGGAGTGGAGTTTTTGACTATCCCCATATTCCAAAAGTGCTTTGTCTCTTTGCTATTACTGTCGCTCAGTAAAAATTGCAGATGATGTTGTTTTTAGTCGCTGCAATGCTTTCAACCAAAACAGGCGCAGCTTGATGACACCATCAACATACGCTATCGCGGTAGAGCGGTATAGTCAAAATCTCTACCGTTAGCCAAATTTATATAGTTTCTACCGTATACCGTTTATACCGCCCACTTCTATTTCAAAGAATAAGATGTGGTGAGAAGGAGAGGGGCTGACAGTGAAACTGCTATCTCTATGCAGTAAGCAGACAAAAGATAATCCAACATTTTTAAGCAATTTAAACATGATTTGCAAAATAGTTGTAGTAATGTTTTATTCAGTATGCTTCCAAAATCAGTGACTAAGCCCATAAACTCACAAGGAAAGTGTTTACTATGTCATGTCTGTCTTCCCATAAACTATAGGACTGGGAGTCTTATCTCAACCCCATAACTCCAAGTGTATTATATTGGATAAATGAGTTTTTGAGGCTTCTACATCATCAGTGCCCCACCCCAATATAATGTGATGGAAAAGTGTATCATAATTTGGACCTTGATTCTGTCTATGCAGGTCGTGAAGAATCATGAACTCGTAGGTCAGGGGAGCCTTGATCAGCTGGAGGCAAGCGTTGATAATGTGCCAGTAACAGAAGAAGAAGAGGAACATTTGTCTAACATGGACCAGCTAGATAAAGACAGAGGAGATGTAGAAATGGAGGACCTTTTTGCAGACTGTGATGAGGTTCCACAAGCTGAGAACCTGGAAGAAAACTATACCACAGAGAAAAGTGCACTCCAGATCAGGGAATGCCAGGAAACCAACGGAGAAAGTCCTGGCGAGACTTCCGAATCAGACATTCAACATGAAAATGCCAAACCAAACTCTACTGTCCAACAAGAGCTGCAAAAACAAGCGGAGCTTGTCCTGCTAGAGACTGCAAGAGAACAGGAGACAGGAAAAGTGGAACAAAGTGTAACAGAAGTGAAAATTACAGATACCCCATGTGAGGATTACGGCGATCCAGAGGAAGAGAGGCAGACAAATGAAGACCAAGCCCAACCTGAATTCACAGAATCTGGAGACAAACAACAAATGGAGACAGGAAATGTGGAACAAAGTGTAACAGAAGTGAAAATTACAGATACCCCATGTGAGGATTACGGCGATCCAGAGGAAGAGAGGCAGACAAATGAAGACCAAGCCCAACCTGAATTCACAGAATCTGGAGACAAACAACAAATGGAGACAGGAAATGTGGAACAAAGTGTAACAGAAGTGAAATCTACAGATACCCCATGTGAGGATTACGGCGATCCAGAGGAAGAGAGGCAGACATATGAAAACCAAGCCCAACCTGAATTCACAGAATCTGGAGACAAACAACAAATGGAGACAGGAAATGTGGAACAAAGTGTAACTGAAGTGAAATCTACAGATACCCCATGTGAGGATTACGGCAATCCAGAGGAAGAGAGACAGACATATGAAAACCAAGCCCAACCTGAATTCACAGAATCTGGAGACAAACAACAAATGGAGACAGGAAATGTGGAACAAAGTGTAACAGAAGTGAAAATTACAGATACCCCATGTGAGGATTACGGAAATCCAGAGGAAGAGAGACAGACATATGAAAACCAAGCCCAACCTGAATTCACAGAATCTGGAGACAAACAACAAATGGAGACAGGAAATGTGGAACAAAGTGTAACAGAAGTGAAAATTACAGATACCCCATGTGAGGATTACGGCGATCCAGAGGAAGAGAGCAGACAAATGAAAACCAAGCCCAACCTGAATTCACAGAATCTGGAGACGAACAACAAATGGAGACAGGAAATGTGGAACAAAGTGTAACAGAAGTGAAAATTACAGATACCCCATGTGAGGATTACGGCAATCCAGAGGAAGAGAGGCAGACAAATGAAAACCAAGCCCAACCTGAATTCACAGAATCTGGAGACAAACAACAAATGGAGACAGGAAATGTGGAACAAAGTGTAACAGAAGTGAAAATTACAGATACCCCATGTGAGGATTACGGCGATCCAGAGGAAGAGAGACAGACATATGAAAACCAAGCCCAACCTGAATTCACAGAATCTGGAGACAAACAACAAATGGAGACAGGAAATGTGGAACAAAGTGTAACAGAAGTGAAAATTACAGATACCCCATGTGAGGATTACGGCAATCCAGAGGAAGAGAGACAGACAAATGAAAACCAAGCCCAACCTGAATTCACAGAATCTGGAGACAAACAACAAATGGAGACAGGAAATGTGGAACAAAGTGTAACAGAAGTGAAAATTACAGATACCCCATGTGAGGATTACGGCGATCCAGAGGAAGAGAGACAGATAAATGAAAACCAAGCCCAACCTGAATTCACAGAATCTGGAGACAAACAACAAATGGAGACAGGAAATGTGGAACAAAGTGTAACTGAAGTGAAATCTACAGATACCCCATGTGAGGATTACGGCGATCCAGAGGAAGAGAGGCAGACATATGAAAACCAAGCCCAACCTGAATTCACAGAATCTGGAGACAAACAACAAATGGAGACAGGAAATGTGGAACAAAGTGTAACAGAAGTGAAATCTACAGATACCCCATGTGAGGATTACGGCAATCCAGAGGAAGAGAGACAGACATATGAAAACCAAGCCCAACCTGAATTCACAGAATCTGGAGACAAACAACAAATGGAGACAGGAAATGTGGAACAAAGTGTAACAGAAGTGAAAATTACAGATACCCCATGTGAGGATTACGGCAATCCAGAGGAAGAGAGACAGACATATGAAAACCAAGCCCAACCTGAATTCACAGAATCTGGAGACAAACAACAAATGGAGACAGGAAATGTGGAACAAAGTGTAACAGAAGTGAAAATTACAGATACCCCATGTGAGGATTACGGCAATCCAGAGGAAGAGAGACAGACAAATGAAAACCAAGCCCAACCTGAATTCACAGAATCTGGAGACAAACAACAAATGGAGACAGGAAATGTGGAACAAAGTGTAACAGAAGTGAAAATTACAGATACCCCATGTGAGGATTACGGCGATCCAGAGGAAGAGAGACAGACAAATGAAAACCAAGTCCAACCTGAATTCACAGAATCTGGAGACAAACAACAAATGGAGACAGGAAATGTGGAACAAAGTGTAACAGAAGTGAAAATTACAGATACCCCATGTGAGGATTATGGCGATCCAGAGGAAGAGAGGCAGACAAATGAAAACCAAGCCCAACCTGAATTCACAGAATCTGGAGACAAACAACAAATGGAGACAGGAAATGTGGAACAAAGTGTAACAGAAGTGAAAATTACAGATACCCATGTGAGGATTACGGCGATCCAGAGGAAGAGAGACAGACAAATGAAGACCAAGCCCAACCTGAATTCACAGAATCTGGAGACAAACAACAAATGGAGACAGGAAATGTGGAACAAAGTGTAACAGAAGTGAAAATTACAGATACCCCATGTGAGGATTACGGCGATCCAGAGGAAGAGAGACAGACATATGAAAACCAAGCCCAACCTGAATTCACAGAATCTGGAGACAAACAACAAATGGAGACAGAAAATGATTTCAAAGTGGATGAAGAAACACCAGCTCAAAATCAAGACGTTAAAGCACTTGAGCATAAAACACTGAACATTGAGGCAAAGGTAGAAGATGACATACTGCGTCATATCTTACAGTTGGCCAATGATGACAGCAAGATGCATAACAAGGCAGATGAGGGTAAAACGGTCAAGATGGAGAAGGGCACTGAGGCAAGTGATATCCCATTAGCTGAAGAGAGCAACTTCCCTTTGTTCCAGAATCCAAAGAATCAAGTTGGTATAGAGGCAAATTCAGCCTTAACAAAGCTAAATATTGCACATGTAAATAACACGAGGACAAAGGAGAGTTTAAAAATTGAAAGACATATGTTAACCCTCCCGCCCAGTTGTGCACAACTTAAGATGATCACCGGCGATATTTTAGGTGTCTCGTTTACAAAATTAAAGCAGGAAGAAGTGCACACTCAGCAAAGCAGTGAACAGGAACCTAAACCTTGCACAGAAATACCAGTACTTGAGAAAGAATGTCTGAAGAAGGAAGTGCACTCTCCTGAATGCTTCAAGGAGGAAGAAGAGAAAGGTCCTTTCGAGCAGAACCAAGAATCTGAGATGCTCACAGAAGACGAGGAACGACACCAAGATCAGGCGCCTGGTGACCACGACGGGATGAAGGATGATGATTGTCTGCAAGAGCCTGAAGGTAAAAAGAAATTATGAGTGAATTGAAATATTAGTTTTTGTGCATTTTTGTAAGCAAAATGCAGAAGCGGTGTGGAAAAACTAAATCTTTGCGTCTATAGGATGTAAGAAGGTAAGTAACAGCCAGATGCTACAATCATCAGCAAGTATGGTGACCTCTGTAAAAACAAATTGTCTGGCAGTTCATTGATCTGATTCACATGTGTGATAAAACAATGCACAAGGTGAAGATGCTCAGACAAACCAAAGACGTATATGTAGAAGAGCTACATCTGAGACTCTAAAGGCTTCAATAGCGATGTCTAGCGATACTGCAAAGCATCACGTTTGGAGAAAACCAAACAGGATAACAGCACAAGCTGTTCACCTCCACACTTGCCTTTGTTCTACTCGTGTGCTGTGTAGATCACAGCTGTATCCACACCTGGGCATTTGTTATGCAGATGTTGTGGCAAACCTTCTGGCACCTACTTATACAGTACAGGGAATAGGGCTGCCACGATTAGTCGACTAGTCACGATTACGTCAACTATCAAAATCATCGACGACTGATTTAATAGTCGACGCGTCGTTTGAAGCTTTGTAAGATCACAAAAGACGCAGGAATAAGTAGTAGGATTTAAGAGTGTAATAACGGACTGATACAGAAGATGGCAGCACTGCATGTACAAGGATGCCAGCTGCCGTTAAACCCCGAAGAAGAAGAAGAAGCAGTGTCCCAGAATTCATAGCGCAGCCCAGCTCAAACGGCGGCAGCTAGTTAGTTTTAATATTACTCTTATTATTCTTTCTGGGTCACAAAATAAAGGTTTAACATATGTTCAGGCGAGAATGTAGCTGTGTAAACCTCAAATATCTGCTCAGTTTATCAAGACACCACATATTTTCAAAAGCGCTCCGACGTTTTCGGAGACGTCTGTTACCCACTAGCTCGATAGCGAGCCGGGGGCTAGGCTCACTAGTGCCCTGAGACCCACCGCTGTCTTTCGCTACTCAGGTTAAACATATATAAGTCACTTAGATAACTTAACAATGTTATTGTTTAGCTTTTTTTAGTATTTTATTTGTTCCTGAGTAAATCAGTTTGGGTGAGATTAAAGTTATAGTTTTTACATAGCTGAATAAACGTCAAGCAGACAGCTGATTATCAGAAGTGTGAGATTCTCGAGAATATACTCCGGTGTCCTGTTATATTTTAGATAGCAAGGAGTTTATTAAACTTCACCGAAACAATCTGCAAATTTCATTAAAATTTAATAAACTACCATCTTGTCTTTATTTTTAGTTAGCACAGACCTTAAACACTTAAAGCTGTAAGCTAATGGTAGTTGTATAAGAGCAGATGCTGCTGGTGCAATAAGATGTACTTTTACGTCCAGTGGACGCATGATCTGATTAGTCGACTAATTGCAAAAATAATCTTTGACTAGTCGACTATCAAAATAATCGTTTGTGGCAGCCCTAACAGGGAATACTACCTGCACGAACCAGTCATCATCAGGTATTAATCTTGATTTCACTCTGCCATTACAAATTACATAAACATATGGGACAGTTTTCATGCTATATCCTCCGAACCTTTCGTAAGTGAATATTCTCTAGGGTGTACAGATGTATGAATCAAGCCTGTTCAGAGTTAGGATGTTGTATAAAATATAAATAATGCAGCATGCAGTGATTTGTATGGTATCTCTATGGTATTTATTTTTAAAAAATATTTAAAACCCCTCTCTCTTCTATAACAAGTTACAGAAAGTTGGCACCTTTAAAAAGAATGAGGACCTGTGACCAGAGCAGTACATTTTTGGATACTTTAAGAAGGTGCAGTTCATGCTTAGCACATATTTCAAAATCAAGTATCCGTGATGGTATCCAGGCATCGATTACCTTCAAAGGTATCACTAATGCTTAATAGTATCTACTAGGTTTAGAACAACAGAGACAACGGCTTTTTTAAGAAAGATCATATTTACATAAGAAAGAACACATTTGCATCATGAAATTAGAAATATAACAATGTAGAACATAAAATCGTCATTTGAATTTAGTACCAAATCACAAAAGTGAGGTCTTTAAGTTGTAAGGCAATGACCCTACAGTATTAGAGAGAAAACCACAACAATCAGATGATACCCTATGGGCAAAGCACTTGGTGATGGTGGGAAGGTACCCCTCCCTTTTAACAGGAAGAAGCCTCCAGGGAGGGACAGATGTCTGCCACAACGGTTGGGAGATGAGGTGAAACTCCTGAGCAATTTATCTTGCTCAGTTATATAAGCTATGTTCTGATCTTTGATAGGATTAGAACACAGCACAGTCCCTTCAGTTTTCAAACGCGTACAGGGTTGTAAACACAGTGGCAAAAATGTTCCTAATCACACTTTTGTGAAATATGTCAAACTCAAAGCGACCATGTGTTTTTCAATAAAACAATCTGTTGCTTGAAGCATTCAACCACATCACGTGGTTTTAGCAGCCTGTTGACTTTGTTTCGTTTCCAAGAATTGTTATGTTGTTGCCTAACCTTTCAGATGCCGTTTCCAAGAATCAACTTTGTGTGATCACAGCTCTAGAACAGCTAATGTACTAAAAAGACTCTGATATGAATGTCAGAGGCCATTTCTTCACCATTATAGATGAACTCTTAGCCTAAGTTAGACATAATGTTTTTACATCTAAAGTAAAAACATTATATGTATACAGATATCCTATTTAATCACAGCAATATCTCTTTCACTTTCAGACTGTTCTTGGCAGTGTCCACTTTGATGCTGCTCACCCAGAGAATCACCTCTGTGTCTTTGGACCTTCAGGAGAAACGAGTCGTACTGACACCATCCAAAAGGCAGACTTGTGTCACGCTTCTCCCTCTAATCAACTACATCCTCAATTTTACCACACTGCTTGGTGGTCCTTTGGATTCCTATGGACAATTCATTACTCTAATGGAGGGGATCAACCTCACCTCGCCACCCAGTCCTCTAGGTGTAGTTTTCCTAAAGCTGATGCAAGTATTAATGCTAGAGTGGGTTAGATTTTATCTTGTCTTTTTTCTGAAACATCTTATCCATGATTTCAACCCTGGCATCCTCTATGGCAGTGGTTCCCAAACTTTTTTTGCTGGGCCCCCCTTTGTTTTACAGAAAAGTGTTCTTCGCCCCCTCCCCCTTGCTCGCGCACGCACGCACGCACTAACACATCCTCCAACCACACACACCCACACCCACGCACGCACGCACTAACACATCCTCCAACCACACACACCCACACCCACGCACGCACGCACTAACACATCCTCCAACCACACACACCTATATTTTGCTCAATTGCGGTTTATTTCACACCTCAAACATTTAGTAAACAATTGAGCAAATACAAGTAATCTGCAGGTAGTAAGCAGGGTTTTAATAGTTTTGCAATTTTCATTAGTTTTTATTTTATATTTAGTTTTGACTTCAGATTTTCAATTTTATATCAGTTTTAATTAGTTTTTACCAATTGTTTGCTAGTTTAGTTTTTATTTTTTCTGAAAATCCTTATTTTCAGTTTAGTTTTGATTAGTTTCAGTTATAGTTTTAGTTGTGTTTGCAATAATTAAGTGTAACAAAATCCCAGTTTCATCATATCAGTCATTCTCTTCTGCTTATCCTTGAGTATGTTGCGATTCCAGCTACCATTGGGATGCATCACGCTGCCTTGCCTGGGGTTAGCTTCTGTTTTCTGGGGATGAGGGTTGAGTGTGCTCCCTTACATTCTCAAGGTAAGCTAGGTTAGCCTTCTTGTGTGAGCTTTTCAAGTGCACTTTAAGGTTTGTGGGAATTTTTTCCCCTTTAGAAATGTCCCTCATAATTTGTCTCTTTCCACTACAAGACACTTGCTTTATCCAAAACAGTCGTATTCAAAGTAATCCCAAATTGGAATCTGGCGCTTTCTCCTGACATGATTCTGCGCGTGGACGGAGCAGCAACACAGACGACTCGACTAACGTACTGCCACCTGCTGGCATAATTAGACAGCAAAAAAAATCTGGAAACTAAACTTCATTTTCACCCTTGACTATTGTATGACACGCACACATCAATGAAAACTAAATACAGTTTTGCTATAAATGCAGTTAATTTTTATTAGTTTTGTGAACACTCATTACAGTTTTAGTTAGTTTTCCTTTTTTTGTTTTTATTTTTATTTCCATTAACGAAAATGTTTTTTCACTTCTAGTTTTCATTATTTCGTTAGTTTTCGTTAGCAATAATAGCCTTGGTAGTAAGAAAATAAACTACTAACTCTTTTACACTACGTCCACGCCTACACTGGTATTTTTGAAAACGCAGCTGTTTCGTCCACACGTAAATGGTGTTTCAAATCACCGAAAACTGAGATTTTTTTTTTTTAAACTCATTTTTTGTGTTTATGTGTGGACGAGGAATACAGAGTTCGTCATGCAACATTAAAGGCATGCGCCTTTATTCATGTCAGGCTGTGGGCAATGTTATTGTTTACATGAGAGGAATTGCAGAATGGCAGCTATTCAGATTAACAGTATTTTGTCTCCATCTTCAGGTTTTACATGCTTACATATAAACACGCAGTTACTGTCCCTCCATTTAGAAAGGCAGAGGCGTCACGGTGTAATTATTTTACATGTAGTTGTTTTTTTCCTGTGTAATATTCAACATTGCTATCAATAAATTTTTCCAAAAAAAATGCCTCTGTGCCAAATGGGTTTAAAAACATAAACAACTGTGGGATGCTGTTTGTCCGTGATTTAGATGGGGGGGAACAAATCGTGGCAGTATCAGCCTGGTGTTATTTGTATCCCGCTGTAACTTTGCTGTATAAAGAGCTAACATCTCCAAAATGTCAGGAGTAGTTAGTCATTACAACAAATGTTTGAACTAAAAATCAAGAATGTGGGATACTGTTTGTCCGTGATTTGGAGAGCCCAGCGCTGCTCCTGACGAAGGGAAAACCAATTCTGCAGGGGAGACCTACCTTGGACTTGTGCAGGTGAAACCAAAGGGAAGTTATGCTTCACTGTATTTTCTAGTCTTTGGCTTAGAATGAAGTTGGTTTGGAAACATATTCAGCTATGCTTCAGCCCCTGCTTTGCGTTTGTGTGGGCGCCGTGCTAGCAGTGTCCAAGCTTTGTTTTTTCCCCTTTTCATGCTCAACCTGATTCAATTGCTGTGGTGGGATCTTAAGAAACTTGCATAAACAAATGCCTGCAAATATCAAGCTGAAGCAACACTGTAAAGAAGAGTGGGCCGAAATTCCTCTACAACAATGTAAGGAACTGATAAACTCATAGAGAAAATGATTAAGTTATTGCAACTAAACATACCTTCTATATTGGAAGATGTACTTAGATGTACTTAGTTTTTTTCACTGGACATTCATTTACATCCAGTCCAGTGAAAAACTAAGTTCAAGGTTCTTTATTATTTGTAACTATGCATGTGACAAATAATAAAGAACCTTGAACCTTGAACTTAGTTTTTCACTGGACTGGATGTAAATGAATTCTCTTTAAAATTTGTTTAAAAGTTTTAGAGTACTGAAACATCATGGGTGAGAGCAGTCTCATGTTGCAAAAGCACTATAAAAACCAGTAAAGTCTGCAGATCTACATGCCGACTCTCACCAAAGTCCTATAATTAATAACTGGAAGTGGTTTCTGACACATAAGCACAGGTAAAGTGGGTAAATGCTGCCTGGCCAGAATAAAAACAAAGAGCACCAATGTCAACCAGTGACTTATGAAGGATGTCGCGCAAAGACCCAGATATTTATGTGTTTTATGGACCAAAACAAAGTAATGAGGCCACTGGCGTACAGTACATTCATCAGGTAGGAGGAATCATACTGCTCCCTGGTGGTCAAACTTATTGCAGCAATTTCAATTTAGATTTGCTGGCATTTTTGAAAATACATAAGTTGTTAAAAGAGTGCTTCTCATAAAAAACAAAACACACAAATGTAATAAAACATCGTCTCTAATTATATGAAGGCTTGTTCATTTCTTCAGAGTCTGTCTTTATTCTTTCCACAAATTCCCGACAACAATACCTAAAAACAACAACAGTCCAAGGTTTCTGTTTGAAACAAACTTTTTCCAGCAGTCTTCTGGTTTGTTGATGTCTAATGTGTAAATCTACGAGAGAAGAAAATAAATATACTTCAATGGAAAACCTAATCTTAAAACACATGAATCTGTGCATGTTTCTCATTTAAATGTTGTATTAAAGTTGACCATGATCCTCACCTGGTTTGTCAGGTGCATTGCTACACCGGTGAGTACAGCATAGTAAGGGAGAGTCTGTTCAGCATTGACCCCAGCTAATACCAGTCCAGACATCATGGCCACAACGAAGCCACTCAGCCAGGGTTTGGTTTACTCCTGGAACCTCAGTGCAGTAGATTTGACTCCTACTTTGATGTCATCCTCCTTATCCCCAATCAAGGTCCCTACTTTAACATCCTGGATCCTGTGGACTTTCCTCCTCTGACCGCTAGCCCTCGCCATCCCGCTGTGTCGCTGAGGTCTGCGCCATCTCCACCACTACGCCCCCGGAGCCGCGGTGGGCAACCCGACGCTGTGGTGCAAACTCACCGCGGAGAGCTGTGCTTTACCCCGGCTCCTCGGAGAAGAGGACCCACGGCGCGGCTACCTGGGAGTCACTCACGCAGTCCGGCTGGCGCATCTCCATCTGAACACCCCCGGTGCCGCGGCGCGGGCGTCTCAGATGGCCAGCAGCCCCCGGTAGCACCTCCTCTCTCCACGCTGGTCCTCGGGGATTCCATCGTCAGGAACGTGCGGATAAGGGGGGCGCTCACGCTGTCGTTCCCGGGAGCCACTGTTGTTGACATAGTGGACAGAATTCCCAACATTCTGGCATCCCACCCACAGGTTAACCGGCTCATCATCCACATCGGCACCAATGACATCCCCAAACAGCAATCTGAGCTGCTGAAGTTGGACTTCCTCCTACTCTTCAGCCTCCTTGGTCAGTTGCAGGTGAGTGCTTTTATCTCCAGGCCCACCCCCACCTGTGGCAGAGGGATAGGCCGTTTCAGCCGGCTGCTCAGCCTTAACACCTGGCTTTCCTCCGCCTGTGTCTCCCACGGCGTGGGTTTTATTAACAATTTTGATGCCTTCTGGGAGAGGAGGCATCTTTTTGGGGCAGACGGGCTCCACCTCAACGCCTGGGGACGCCGTTTGCTGTCCGCCAATTTGGCATTTGGCGTACAGCACTCCCGCACATCGCCCTGTCACTACCCCAAATTGACATTACCTGCAGATCTGTCTGCCACTGACTGATGTTCCCCTGGTCCCAGCTCCTATATTTGTTCCACTTTTAACAGTAATACACAAAACTCTGGACTCGGACCTCTCTCTCCCACAGTCAACACAATACCCGTCATAATCACAAACAGAGAGCAACAGAATTATCATAAATCTAGTAACTCCAAAAACATTAATAACCTCCGGCCTCTTCAAAAATATCAACATCCATTCAACTCTATTGTCAAAAATCCACCAGTCTCAATCAGTATGGCACTTTTAAATGTCCGCTCTCTGTTGAACAAGTCTTTTATTATTAATGATTTAATTTTAGATAATAAACTTGACTGTTTATTTTTAACTGAAACATGGCTGGGTTCGGATGCACCAGTTTGTTCTCACTGAGGCCTCCCCACCAAATTTTAATTTCTCTTTTTCTGTTAGAAGTGGTAAGAGAGGTGGTGGGACTGCATCTTTAGCCAACAACACACTCACCTCCAAACAAATTTTACTTGATCATTTTACCACTTTTGAATTCCACGCTATTGTTTTCAGCAGCCCTCCAGTTTTATCTGTCACAATTTATAGACCACCTAAAGACAGTGCTGCTTTTATCAAGGAATTCTCAGAATTTTTAACAAACATACATTCAAAATATAATATGATAATTTTAACCGGTGATTTTAACCTGCACATAGATCATCCTTCTGACCCTGCATCAAAAGAATTCTTAAACATTCTTCACTGTTTGGATTTTACCCAGCACGTCACACAGCCGACTCACAACAGAGGACACACTCTGGACCTGGTCATCACCCATGGGCTGTCCACCAGCGTGTCCTCTGTTGTTGACTTGGCTGTCTCTGACCACTACTGTGTGTTTTTTAACATCACCGGTTTTATTCAGCGGGAGACCTCGGTGCGAACTGTGAGGAGGCGCTATCTAACCTCTGAAGTGGCTGCA